ACCAACCAGGAACTTGTTAGAAAGGTGTAAATTCTCAGATCCCCACCCCACCCCCAGCCCCCTGGCCAGCATCTCTGGGATGGAGGTTGCAACAGTCTATGGTTCTGATGCTCACTGAAATTTTGAACCAATTGCCTTAGGGTGTAGATTTTCCCAAGTGCTTATCCTCCTTTGAAAATACAAACAACAATAATCTTGGATACAACTCTGTGTTTCAGTCTTCTTTCCTTACTGAAAAATGTGAGATCCTGCCCTCTGATATCTCCCAGGCATCTTTTTGAGCTTCCGAATTCTTATCTCTACCTTCTCTCGCAACATATGGCTACAGAGGGTTTAAAGATGTGTAAAAGTCATGTCTAAAAAGCTTTTCTTTACTCTTTAAGTTATTTTGTTCTTTATGAGAAAATTTAGTAAGTATCATAAATTTGAGTAGAACTGGCTGAATAATGCCCCTCATAATCTGCTGATCTTATTGCTTGGGTTCTCATAGCCCTTGAGTGTAGAAAGTCCAACCCCAGGCTTTCACTGGAGTCCTGCTCTGATTGTACCAGCATGATTTTAAGGTAGTTACTGAATCTCTGTGCCTCAGTTTCCTCATCTGCAAAATGTGGATAATACAGACTATGTCTCAAAGGTCAGTTATGGTTTTATATATGTAAAATTCATAAATTATTTCTGAGGCAGTACAAGCAACACATAATTGTAGAAGTTATTTGTAATAGACTTGTAATGAGTTCTGTTTTTTCAAGGATCAGTAGGTAGATTTGGCTCAGAATGTAAGGATTTCAGATATCTGAGTTTGCAAGAGATGAGAAAGTTGTCATTAACTTTCCTCAACTTGCCTCTTGGCTCTCTCTTAGTTAACATCAGAAACACCCCCCCTCCCACCACCAAGTGCTACTTGTTAAAGAGGGTCCAGGACACTGCCACACACAGTAGGGAGGAACCAGAGTTTGGAAGAACACTTAAGTGAGCTTTCAAAGTCTTGCCCCAAGTTCTCTTTCCTGCTGTTCAGAGGACCTGTGGAGGAGTCCTATGGTGATAGAAGAAAGCAAGAAGCCATGGAGCTCTACTTTCTTCTGAAATGTAGATATAGTATGAGGAAAGTAACTCTCCTCAATGAGCATCAATGTTCCTCTGAGTTTCTTTGTTGCTCATGGGTTCTGGAACTGTGAAATGTATTAACCATCTCTGCCCATCAGAGATGGCTTTTATATGGCTTCTCCCTTCCATTTACACTCCACGCCCACTACTGAGCCCCAGGGTAAAGAGTAAATAAATTTGGCCACAGCCTTCCACCTGGGGGTATGCTCACACAAGAGGTGACAGCCTTTACAAGGGCTGTGTGGCCAGGCCCCTCAGAGCATGCTCTGGCCATGAAGAGTAGATTTGGACTATTATATTTCAAAGTCACCAGTCCCTACTAGACCTTGTGGTGAATTTTGCTGGCTGCGTGTGCCCTCAGTGTGCAGCTGTTCATACTATATGAAAACAATGATGGTTTTAAGGAAATGCATTGACATCTCAAATGCCCTAAAGCTGATCTGCTTGAAAAAAATGCAATTTTGCCTTCATGTTCTGACTGGTCCCACTTTACATATTGTCCAAAAGACAAGATCTCCTTACTTTCCTCCTTGTGTCTATTACCTGCTGATTACCGACAGGGCATCATTCTTGAGGGGGGGCGGGTCCCATAAAAATAGAGCCAAGAAGTACTGAAAGCAATGGTGTAGCATTGCACCAGCAATGAATTCATGGCAGACCCAGTGAGTTCTCAGTCATCAAATTGAGCTCAGAGATAAGAGATGTTTGCTTACAGAGGGCAGTATAATTTAGCATATCAAAATAAACAGCATTTTGATTTTACCAACATTTCTGAGTCCATTCATTAAACAAGGTGCTTCTAGCAAAAGATGTCTTTTACAGTCATTTGATAAGACCTGGTAAAATGTTATCAGTATACTTTGCAGATATTGAGAAATTAAATGAACCTAATACTATGTTGTAAACCTCTTAGCAAATTAAGTATTTTCCAATTCATTGCTTTAGAAGAAATTGAGAAAGGAACTAATTGAGTTGTCAGCTGTGAGATGATCAAAGTAATTTTTTAAGGTATATTACTATGTGATTTTTGCCATATAACTTAGAAAGCATTCAAAGAATTGAGTGTCATTGCTATACAAAATTCTTATTTCCATCTCTGTGTTTATGTGAATGAGGTTTCTCTAAAAGCAAAAATAAGAACAGAATTGATCCTGAACACTCTCATTGTAGCTGTAAATGATATTTTTATTTGTAGTATTATAAAAGGCTTATCTATGTAATTAAAATTATATTTACAGTAAAAGATAACTTTTGTGTCTAATTATTAATTAAAACATGCCATATATTTATGTTGCTTTATCAATTTTATATTTGTAATGATAGCTCATTTTCAGAGAAAATATTATTACTTAGAGTTTTATGGCCATAGACCATAAAAGAATTTTAAATTTCAATCTGTCTCTCTATTGTTGCAAATAAATATGATAGGTGATCAATAAAAGATTTTTGAGCATAAAATATGTCCTGCAGACAGAGAACATTTAGTGAAAGTACAAGTGCAAGTTTAAAACAGAACAACACACATTTTTTGACTCAAAGAAAAGTTTATTGATGAACATTGAAAGTGCAGAATTATAAGTAGCAGTTACTGTGCTTTTAAATCCCCACTGCACAGGTATTGTATAGATATACAAATATGTACATATCCATACATATATGCTCATACACATAAAGGAGTTCTGATACATTTCTTATTTTAAAACGAAAATTTTCTCTACAAACTAAAAACTATAGTTTAAATAAACTTTTATATCCATTTACAAAGCTTGCAGAACTTACCAAACTAAAAGCAGGAATATTCATGTGATGCTAAGGTGTGGTTGTTGAGACCAGAAGGTGACCGATCCCCTTTGTTCTGTCCCAATTCTCCTTCCACCACCAGGCTTCCTGCTGCCTGGAATTCCGCCACTAGAGTTTCATTCTCCAAATGGGGATCTCCCCTACGAAAGGCTTTTGAAAATGAGGAGCAAGGAGGGTCCCTTTGAATATTAGTTTTCACAAGGAAAATAGAAAATTACTATAGAATGAGGCATACTGAGCAGAAAATTAAACAAGGGCCTCGCGATGTGACAGTGTGGCTTCTACCAATACCGTGCCCATGAAGGTAGGAAGGAAGCACTCTGCTGTTCCTAAATTATTGCATCTCCATCCTGAATGCAACTGAGCCCCAAACTCACCACATTGAACTTAGACTGGAAATGATAATAAATTATATCTGTAACAACTGGTGTGGAGAGGTGTTCATGGTCAAATTGAATAAAAAGTAAACATTTCATTAGTGTATGAGTCTATTTTTGGTAAAAATAAATCTTTACCAGCTTTCTCTATGTGAGTAAATATCTAGAAGAAAAAATAACAGGCTATTACCAAAACTTGGAGTTGATGGAGAGGGAATGGTTGGCTTGACTTTTATGATCTTTGTAAGATACACATATATTATCCACTTTGTGTTGTTCACATGTTAAAACACATCTATCTTGTTTGTGTAGTATAAAAGAACAGCACATTAAAAGCTTTAGAAAAGCACAGTCTCTCCTTATCCCTCGGTGAAGACCCTGTTAATACCACTTCCCCTCCTTCCCAGCAACCTGAATCTGCTGTTGAATGGCAGTGGCCAGGCATGAAGGAGACCCTAGTGAAAGAAACCTAGTATTGTTTCCATCCCTCCTGCTCAGGGGAGACAGGACCTCCCTAGACTCAGTGCTTTCCCCTTCACAATGAAGCTGTCCCTGGATACTCCAGGCCCTGGGCCATTTGGGCCCAGTCAAGGTGGTGTCTTTCCCAGGGTCTGCTCTGTTGTGTTCTTCCGTAACCTGTGCCCTGTCTGAGGCTCTCTGCTGCAGGCCAGGTACAAGGCCATGTAAGTCAGGAAGGGCCTTCTGGTTCCTGTGTTCTTAGAGTATCAGACTCACCCCTCCTCTTGCTCCTGGGACAGTAGGGCTGCTGCCTGTCATTGCATCACTGGTTTCCTGTGGTGGGGACACACATGATGCCCTTAGGAGGACCTGTTTTCTCCTATTTCTGTGCTCAGGTTGTCAGCTACCTAGCACACCTGCAAATGTTCTGCACCTACAGGCATATTTATTTCTGCATAAGGATTGGTGGCCTGCAGATCATACACCTAGACAAGCTAATTTCATTGCATTTGTAGCCTCCCTTGGTGGGGGAGAGTGGGTGAGATGGGCTCCCTGCTTGGTCATGACATTGTTCTTCTCTCCATGGGCAGAGGGAGGAGTACACAAAGGAACGGGGGGGACATTACTGATAAATGTCCTTCATCTCTTCCCTGAGGTCTTGAGAGGCAGCCATGACTCCCTTAAAAACTGCTGGGTTTCCAAGGTGAATTTTACAAATCTGTGTTTTAAGTTATAGTTTGTAAACTCTCGGTGGTTTAGGTACACATAGAGATTATCATCACCTGGAGCTCTGGCAGTAAATAAGTTCAAATTTTGATTAACTACAAGTTAAGTATTTGCTTTGTGGATTATCTGTGACCTATTTGAAATACTGTACTGATCCACTCTCTTTTCCCTGTGCCTCTGGCCCATTTCTCCCACACAGTGATAAATGTGTTCAAGAAATATAAACTCATTCTCATGTAAGCCTGGGGGTGGCAAGCAAATGTGCAGCAAAGATAGTCACATAATATGTCCCTAAATCAAATGGGAATGATTTTGTATCATCTGTTCTTGAGGATGATTCGTGCCTTCTTTACCATAAATGTAGGATGCTTCATCAATAATTGATTGTTTCCTATTAGTACTGTTATTTGTTTCAATTATTACTTGATGTGTTCCACTACATTTATGACATAATTTTCCAACTTTCTTTTTCTGTTTTTCTCTGTCTCACATCTCCCTGCCTCCTTCCCCATCCTCTCGTCATATCCCTCACAGGTGTACCATAGATGATCGGGTCACTCGGGTAGCCTGGCTAAATCGCAGCACAATCCTCTATGCTGGGAATGACAAGTGGTCCATAGACCCTCGTGTGATCATCCTGGTCAACACACCAACCCAGTACAGCATCATGATCCAAAACGTGGATGTGTATGACGAAGGTCCGTACACCTGCTCTGTGCAGACAGACAATCATCCCAAAACTTCTCGGGTTCACCTCATAGTGCAAGGTAAGTCACGACTGGACAGAGAGTTTGATCATCCTCTTAGTAATGAAGGGTGAGAGTGATTTAGTCAGTGTTCCACCTGTGTAGGAAGACACAAATGGTCATTTTTCCACTGTGGAATCCATGGATTGAGAACCGAATACCTTCTGAAGGCATTGAGTTCAATGCTGTCTCTAGTGCTTTTGTTTTCTTCAATAAGTTGTTGTGCGTGCACTGATTGACCTCTCTTAAGTAACTTAGCTTTCTGGAGCTAGAATAAGATATATCAAACATAGATAAATACAGAGCTATACGAAGTGCTTTTTAATGATATTTTGGGGTTTTGCGTTATTAAAAAAGGAGCTAATACTGATGTCCAAGCATGTGCCTTGACTACTTTTTCACATAGTTGCTGGCTGGTCATGCATGTTCTGGATAGGGCTCTGCATGCTGGTCAGTTGGGTACCCCTGCAGTTGTATTCAGTACCACACTAGAGGCTGGAGTTGCGAGAACTGTCAGTCCTAACAACATCTCCAGTCACTGCTGAAAATAAATTCACATAATTAAAAAGGAGTTGAAGGGCAGGGGGAGAATGGCTTCACACCTTGTTTTATCCTCTTAAAAATCTGAATCAGTATAGCGAGGGCATAGTATCCATGTGAGTTTTAAAAAGTAGTTTTTAATTTAAATTACACTTTTTAGCTAAAAAGCATAGGTAAAGAAATGTCAGAATCCCAGGTTACTGATATTAAATATCGAGAATTACAAACCTATGCAAATAGCAGTTCTGAGAATATGAGAACCATTTTAAGACAAGGAAGCAATCCAAATGAACTTATTTTGGACTGATCCAACTGCCATAGCTATATAAAGCATTTTCTGTAGAATATCATCTCAAGATGGGGATGAAGTTCCAAGCAGATGAGTTCTGACCACAGAGATGCATGCTTCCTCTGTCAGATGAGAGGATGGCGGACCTTTCCCACAGCTTCTTGCCCTAATTTCTTGGGGACACACAGTGAGTTTCCAGAAAGGGTCCCTGCATGGGATTTATCTCTAGCAACTTCCTTTTATCTGATTCCATCTGCCATGGAATCCACACACTTTTTTTTTTAGATTAGGAAATGTGTATGCCACCCTCGCTTAGCTAAGAGATTTCTTCATCTCTGCTTTTTAAAAAATATGATGCTACTCATTTCCGCTGGAGAAAGGTTGATTAGGGGTTACCATCTATTCATGCTCAGTACTTGCACAATTCAGGATCCATTCTTCCCTTTGGCTGGAGCAGCTCTTTACTAATGCAGCATCCGTACCTACTCTGTAGGCCATTAGCAATGCATATGTTGGTCCAGAGATGTGTCTAATGCAACTTCTGTTTCCCAGCTGTCTCTGGGACCTCCATGTTGCTTACAGCTTGGCTTCCATCCAGCCTTTGAGCCCTTCTCTCACTCCCACGTGCTTCCAGATGCTCACAGGGGCCACCATGTGGCACATCTAGAGATGCTGCTGATTCCCATTCTCCATACACACCCTGCCCGGGACTTTCGTGATTGTCACTCTTTGACGGAGATGAAGATGATGGTCATATCCAATTTTTCTTTTCAAAGGATGGTGGAGGTACCCAGTCAGATCAGTCATTGGATACAGCTGTATATCAGCTGGAAGTGTCTGGGGGTGTAGAATACAAGGGCTTGGGAGTTCACACTGCCCCAGCTACCACCTGGTCTTAGTTCCAGAGGAGCTGAAATTCTCAGCAATGGAAATGACACCTCAGTGGCACCTCCATGGCCTTGACAGCAATAATATCTGCACATTCTGGAGATGTGGCAATGAAATAAAAAATAACTGTCAGGTCCTGCACAGAAACAGCCTCAAACAGAGTGAGGTTATCACCCTTCAAGGAGTATGACCAATTGTGTAAGTCAAAGTCAATGAAGGCCATAAAGAGCTTGTTGTGCAGGGCTTCCGAGATGATGCCATTCATGATGTTATTTGAGCCATTCCTTGGGCAGGATGTGGAAACCTAGGATGTCCTCCTCCCAGCCTCGGGTCAGGAAGAGTCATAGGATGGGTGTCATTCAGACCGGCAGGATTAAGAGAAGCTCATGGTCTCCACATTCCCAATGCAGCCTTCAGTGTCTCTGGCCATCTGAGGGGACCTGTGCAATCCAAGAGCAAATCATCAGGTGTGTGGAGGCAAGAGAGGAGACCCTGGCCCTGAAACTCTGTCTGGGTAGGTGACCCTTTCCATCTACAGAGAAGCAGCTCAGGGAGCTGCATCCCCTCCCTCTTAGCTGACAATGCAGCAATGTATTCTTCCTTTGGAAACCAATTGAATTACCAGCGAGTGCACACAGAGACCCCAGCTCTCGGTGAGAAAGAGGACCAAGGGCTCTCTTGCTTCCCAGTAGCCATCAGCTTTTGTCCAGTCTATAGATTAATTTTTCAGACTTAGTGTTAGTTCAGGTTAGATAAAGATAATGAAAGTTTCCTAATCCTCTTAAAGAAGATTTATCTGACTGAGTAGAAAGCCTTTGGAATACAATAAGGCATGTATAAAACTGAGGCCTAATCTTGCCTTTAATTTCAAACTGCTGATGGGTATTGATTTTGCAATGAGAAAAACTGAAAAATTTCCGTGCTTGCAACTTGTCTGTTTAAAAAAGTAAGTGTTTATTTATCTTCTGTCCATTTGGGAATGTGAATACCTCATTACTTCCACCAATCAGGTGCCATTAGCCGGAGAGAGACAAGTCCCCTGGGGCTCCCAGCTTTGCTGTTTCCGGCAGTGTGAAGAATTGAGAGGCTCTGTGTCACTAACCTCAGCCCCTGTCCTTTACTGTTGTGTAAGGCAGCCTCTGCCATATCTCTGATGAGACTAATTGCCAAGTCCATCTCTTTGCAAAAAGAAGCTGCCTTCATTAAAATATGATCACTGAAACCAGAGGTACATCTCAGCTACTGAGGGGATCGCTTCAAGTCACCATGTACGTGTGAGGAATAAACTGACTAGACACTGTACCCAGGTTTTAAGGAAACCTCAGAGCAGGGGCAGTTGATGTTGTGGGGTTGTGTAGTCAGGTTAGGAAATCCATCCGGCAGTCCTGTGGAGGGTGAGCTGAAGTGGAGACAAACCAGAGGAACAACTCACTGACGGCGTATGACAATAGGAGACTGTGAGTTTGTAGAAACAAATGGAGGAAGGCCTAAGAGATGTTGTCTGCTGTGGTTTGTGTATAAATTGTGCCCCAAAGTCTCATCTGTTCAGAGGTGGAGTTTTTGGAAAGTGACCAGACCATGATTTATTTTCTTTTTGTATTAATTAATTTATTTTTTATTAGTTACATGTTTGCCACATATAATGACCAGATTTATCATGGGGGATTTGTACTGGCACACAAAAGAAGGCTCTAATTTCAGTAGTGGATTAATCCATTGATGAATTCAAAATTTGATGGCATTTGTGGAAGTGAGGCAAACTCGGGTGGTGTGGCCTAGTTGATGGCAGTGGTCATGATGGCATAACTTTGAGAGCTATAACTTGTCCCTGACCCCTTTCTCTGCTGCTCTTCCCCTCTCTGCTTTCTGGCTACCACGAGGTGATCAGGTTTCCTTTGCCATGCTCTTCTTTGATGTTTCTGCCTCCCCACAGGCCTAAACCCAGCTGACCTTGGACTGCAACCTTTGAAATCCAGACCCAAATGAAATTTCTTCCTTTAAGTTGTTTTCACCAGGTATTTTGTCACAATAACGAAAATGAATGCATTACTCAAGGGAAATGGAAAGTACTAATCCCAATGCATTGAAAGAGGAAGAATTAAATGTATCACCCATGTTTTTGAGTCTGGGAAACTATTGGTGGCTAAGGTAGCTGGAGAGGTAGGGTACTATAACACTTGGAAAGAACAGCTTTCAGCTTACCAGGTTTAGGAATAAAGAAAACATAAACATCAAGTAGATATTGTAAAAAAAGTGAGCAGGTGTAACTGAACACCAGAAAGTGTGTTTGACAATCTATGTGAATTTACCAGCTTGGGAGTAGGAAAGTTTCTTAGGCTAGGTATTCCTTGAGAATAGCAAGAATTATACTGTGTTTTTCTCAATCTTCAGCACTTAGCACACTATCTGAGGCATTGTCGGCACTCAACAGATGTTTCTTTGTAAAATGAGCAGAAGAACAGATTGATGCAGCAACTGAAACCTGAAACAGCATGAGTGTGATGATCACAAAGCCCCTGCAGGTAAACAGGTGGGAACGAGCCGTCCCATGACTTGGCATGGACAGCTCCAGTGAGTAAGTGGCAGAGTTGAGTGTTGAACCTTGGCCACTTGCTTGACTTCAAGATCAGTGTCTTCCAAACATATTACAATGTCTCCACTGCCAACCATTTCTAGTTATTTCTCTGCACCAGACTATTGGGAAACACCCAGGTTTCTTATAGATTATTTTATTTAACTTATTTCCTTTTTTTTCGTGCTGCGGATATCACATTGTACCAGAAGAAATTAAAGACAAACTCAAGAAGCTACCATAAATGGTGGAGAGAGAGGCAGAAAAGGTGATAATTAATTTTGTAGTAGCGCATCCCTTCAGGGAGACACATTTTAAATGTTACCGCTTTATCCTATGTAAGGACTAGAAGCTCTCGCCCCTTTGAGGGCCCAGGATCTAATTTTCATTCCACTCATCACTAACTCTTCATCCTACTGAAACTACTCAGAGATCTCTGTGGTGCTAGGGTTGGTGTTTATCAGGGACAGATAGAATAGGAAGAGCTGGCCTATTTTTGTTCCTCGAATGTTGATATTCTACACTTGCATTCTGAGCTAGCTTAGAAGTCTGTTTTACTACAAGGTACTTCATGAAATGGAAGAACCCTTTTTTATGCACAGGGTTAACAATGATGAATTGTGTTAAATTTTCCCATAAGAAACTCCACAGAACACTTATGCAATATCTCTGTACACAAAAGACTGATTTATTTTATTCTGGAATTAGTTCGGGGGGCACTGGTTGTTACACAGATTCTGTTTAGTATGTAAAGATCAATTTCCCAAGCAGTCTAGTCCTGGATTATACTGAACACTAGCTAAAACTGAATACCAGGCACTAAAATTAAATGAATATAATTTCAGTTGATGTTTACATCTACCCTACAAAATACACACCATATTCATGTTTTACAAATAAGGAAACTGAGGCTTAGAAAGATTGAAAACATCCAGAGATGATGGAAATGCTAGGAGCTTTACATTTCTTTCACTATGCAATTCCTTGGGTTAAGCTTTTGTCACTACAAAAAAAAAGCTATCAAAATACAAACAGTCAGTGAGACACTTACATGCATTATCTCTTCATTATTCTTCACAACAGCCCTGGAAGACAGAGCAGAAAGTCACCACTTTACAAGACAAGAAATTGAGGGTAGGGAGTTGGAAGTGATTTGAAGGAGTTCCACTGGTTAAGAAGCGGCCAAGCACCTCTTAAGGCATCTGTTTCCCTCTGTGTCCTGCAGTACTGTGCTTCCTGAGCCAGCCATACTGGAAACTGGGAGATAAATTAACGCAGGTGATTGCTGCCATACAGGAGACAAACACAGAAGAGGAGGGAGGGTACCAAGGCTACGGCTGTGGGTGGGACCAGGGCCTCTGGGGAGGTTTGCAGTGGGAGTGTTTACAGAAGAGAGGAGGAGGCAGGGCCTCAGCACATTCTGGACTATTTTAAAGTCTTCCTTTTAACAAATCTCTTTTTTTTTCCTGTGATTTCCCTCCTTCCAAATATTACATAGTCATTTAAATTAACATGTATAATTATGAGCTTAAAGATAACTCAGCAGTCAACCTGAAATAAATTTAATTTATTCAGCCTTTATTTTAATTATAATCACACTTGTTCTTCACAGAGGAAGATGGAAGAGTGAAAAAGAACAAGTCTGGGCATGAGAAAACTCACTCCGAGGGCTGTGCTCTGCTCTTGAACCTCATAGGCTTCTGTCTTCAGAACCTTCCCCTCCTGGGGGTCTTACCCTGGGGTACAGAACAGAATTCAATGGAACTTATTTCCTTTATGCGTACATATGAATACTGTAATTTGTATTATATATAGTATATATATATATATATATATATACACACACATATATATTTTCATCTGGAAATATGATTCTAAAAAGGGTTTTCTAAACTGCAAATTTCGTATGTGTACAAATACAGTACACAAGCAAAAGGATCCATAGTGCAAAATAAATATGAGAATTGAGAATTTCTTTGGGCTTCATTTCCAAGGTTTTGAAATGGAAGGTTGCAATGTTGGTATGGCAGTCCTTTCTACTTATTCTATCTTATAATGACTTTTAAACATAAATTCTCTGCCTGAGTTTTTGTATAACTGGGATTCTCTGCACACTATCTTTTATTCCTTTACCCAAGGATGGGATTATAGACAGCTAAGTTAGGTAGAAATATTCTAGGCAGTCAGATAGGGCTAGTCCCTTGAAAAAGTCAGTGCAGAGCATAAGAACACATTACTACTGTGGGAGGAGGTGGATTTCTTGAAGGCCAGGGCTCAAGACAAAAATGAAATGACTAGCCCTACTTCCCCTGGGTTAAAAAATAAAGATTGATATTCTAAATGGGCATTAATCACTAGGTGGGGACCAAGACCCTGACCCATCCCTTCCTTAATGGTTGACCATAGTTTTATCCCACCTTATCCCCACCTGATGATTTTATACCCATCTCATGATTTTGTTCTATAAAACTTTGAGAAGTGGAGTGGTCAGGCAACCCATTTTCTGGGTTCCTTTCTGTCTGTCTTAAACAGAAGATATCTATCTCTCAATAAATATTTCCTACTCTTTTAACTTCCGTTGTTCCTAGAATCATTCTTTGATTTTAGAGAATATGAACTCATTGTAGTGGACATCTAACAGGTTGGGAGTGATAATATTTCCCTTATATCATCCCTGTATCAATGAGAAACATTGCTCCTAATCTTTTACTTATATTTTCTTTTGTCCTTAGGATTGAGACCCTCTTGCTAACATTACTAGATAGTAGTAATTCTGAGTATGATCCCAGTTGCTCTCTAACATTTGTAATCTACACAATCCATATCAAACTGTTTTACTTGTGTGTGTGTGTCTGTGTGTGTGTGTTTGTGTTTAGCTATGTTCCCTACCTATTTATCCATCCATTCATTACTGAAGCGTTATGGTAACTGAGGAGGTAACTGTAACATAGAAAGAATCAAAGATATCATTGCCTTCAGAATAACCTCTGCACACAGTAAAAGAAGGTTTTGTTTGTTTGTTTGTGGTTTTTTTTTTTTTTGGTACCAGAGATCAAACTCAGGACCTTGCGCTTGCCAGGCAGGTGGCAGAACCACTGAGATAAATCCCCAGCCCAAAAGAAGGTATTTTGAGAATCTTCATTTGTGAAGAAAGTGTCCCCCTTCAAACTCCCTTGAGGCCTGATGCCTCCTTCCTGCCTCAGGGGTAGAATGAGGCCCACACATATATTTCCCAGGCAGTCCTCTATCTGTGTTCTCAGATTGTGCCACTCATCTTGTAGTGTAACTAGAACAGAATTGATGTTCATTACCATCCAGTCTCCTAGATTGTGAGACCTTCCATAATATGGTGTACAATTAGAGACAACATGGTCCAACCATGTTTATAAAAAAATGCTTTCTCCTTTTATCAGGCCTCTTCTCCCCTTATTGTGAGGAGAAATAGGGTACTTTGTTCTGCTCTGTTTAGGAGTGAAGACTATAACACATACACACATTCACATTTGCACACACCCTTACACGCATTCACACACTCCCACATACAATTTTCACAGGCTTCATGACTGTTTCTTCTGTACCCTCTGCAATTCTATTCTACCATCCACTCAGTATGTAGGTTCAGCCTCCATCTAGAAGAGGGGCAGAGACACACTCAATTCTCTCATAACAGTTCAGAGTTTAGTAATTGTAAAAATTGAAGGAATTGGTATTTTCAAAGGTGATTGAGACCAGAACAAATTGCCACTGCATGAACTCCTTGTCAGGGCTCAAGATGTGTTGAGTCTGTGTGCCAAGGGGGGAGCCTTTCTATGCGAGGGTCCTGGATTGGAAAGTGGGTGAGAGAGTTTTCCACAGGGTACAAGAAGGTGGTGCCAGTCTTGGCACCTTTGGTGTTATACACAGAAGCAAGAGCCAGGAGGAGAGGTGGCAGGGCCTCAGCTTGTCATCTGTCTTATTTGCAATAGAATTAAATAAACAGAACAGTCATAATAAAGCCTGTTCTCCCAATCATCACTGATGTGGAGATGAAGAAAATGAAATGCCTGTTATGTTCTGCTCAATTTACATGGTGATCTCAGCTTCCTTCCTAAGAAGTCAGTCTGCCAATAGCTCCAGTAAATAACAAAGATGCTTGCTAATGCATTCCTGCTGCAGGGAGCACAGAGCAAGCATATCTCAGAGGGAAGGTAATTAGTAAACGTCCATAAATTCTCTCACAGACCAAAGTTCACCATGATCCTCCTAGAGTCATATTATTCCATATGTAGTGTATCACCATACCTTATACTCCCACAGTCCCTACATTTAGTTAACCATAGTTGAGCATCAGGAATACTGAATCCGGAGTAGTAATATTTTCATACAGGTAGTAAATGTACACATATTTGAAGAATCCAACTTGCCTTCTCTAACCTTGTTTTGAAGTCTTATGTTGACCACAATAACTATTTATTATACTTGTTCCAATTTTGGATTCTCCCAAAGATCAAAAAGCCTTTATTACTTTTTTCACTGATAATTCTTCTCTAGAGGTATAAAAATTGAAAAGTAGTAAAAATGAAGTACAGGTAAAATTATCACAAGGAAAACATTCGAGGATTCGTTTTCTTCGTAATTACAAACCCTGGCTCTCATTCACCAAGTAACCTCTCTAGCAGTCACTTTAAAGACATGACCCAATTCTGTTTTCCAGTGAAGCTCAGGAGGTAGGATTTACTTTCTTAGTTTTTTGAATGAAGAAACTGAGGTTTAGAAAGGCCAAGGAAGTTGTTGTAGGCACTAGCTGGGAAGTGGGGGTGAGACTTGGGCTCAGCTCACAGCTGAAAGGCCCTCTTCACTGGCATTTGTCCTGATCTCATACCTTCCCCCACAGGCAAGTCAGATGGATGTGCCAGTTCACTCCTTGTCCAACACCTCTGCAGGCAAGATCTCCAACCAGAGGAGCAGTTTTCTCTTTTTCCTCTATTTCATTATTGTTGTAATTATAACTTCCTCCTTAGAGTTAATAGTAGCTCTCAATCTGCATTCCCAGTTCTCGGCTTTTTACCCTAATCTCAATCTGTTATTTCTGACTCTGGCCTGAGCTCTTAAATTTAGGTGTTCTAAAGTCCTCCTACTGAACTTAGCTTCTTTAATCCAAAATCTGCTCTTCCTCTTCTCATTCACAATCCTGTTCATGGCAACAGAAAGCTGAGGTAGAGCCTGGCCTGAAGCTGCAATTCTCTGTTTTGCTTCCCTGTAAAAGCAGTGGTCATGTCCCAAGAAGTCACTGTCTTCCTCTTTGTTCCCCAAACCACCACCATCCTAGAGCAGAATCTAATTCCCCACTGACTTTCCACTGTTACTTCCTAAGGGACACCCAATCCTTGATCTCTCTCCTTATTAATTTTATTTATTTATTTATTTTTAAATTTTTATTTTATTAGTACATTTTAAGTATACAATACAATGACATTCATCATTAGAAATTTGCACCTTTACATAATCATTCTTGGTTCTTATTTTGCCCCCTTCCCCTGCCCTCCCTTCAACCCCTCCATCCCTCCCTATTTACAAAGACTTTGTTTCCATTTTTTCATTTTCTCATATTAATTCCCATTCCCTTTTTCCTTTCCCCTACCCCTCCCACTTCTCCTTTCCCTTTGCCCCTTTTCTTCCTATTTCACATTATCTATTATACCTTTTAGTCCTTACTTACACTCAGTTTCTCCCACCAGAGAAACTATTCGGTATTTATATATGTGTGTCCTATTTATTTCACTTAAAGAGTATGACCTCAATGTGCATCCATTTAGCTATGAATGTCTCAAATTTCTCTTTTTTTTAAGGCTGAGTAGTATTCTATTTTATAAAAAACAAAACAAAACACATTTTCTTTATCCAGTATCCAGTTGATGGGCACTTGGGCTGCTTCCAAGTTTTAGCTATTATACATTGTGCTGCTATAAACATGAGTGCACATATACCACTGTGGTATTAATTCTTTGGGGAAGATACCCAGCAGCGGAATAGCTGGGTCAAATGGGAC